CTTGGCGGCCTCCGGGGGTGCACCCCCCGGGCCCCCCCCCCCTGCAGCCCGGCCAGCCTTGCCGCCGGGGATGCCACCCCCCAGGGACCGGAGCCCCCCAGGCACCGCCACGTCACCCCCAGGACCAAGAGCCGCCTCCAGGCCGCCGCGGCACGGCTCGGCGCCTTTTCTTCCTCCTCCCTCTTCGACGAGACGCTGGAGATGCCGCGGAGGCCCCCCAGGCTCAGAGCACCCCGGGCTGTCCCCAGGGACCCTGCCACCACCTCGGGGCACTGCGTCACCCCGCGGGGCGAGGATGTGTCCAGTGGGGACGGAGAGGGGACGGGCTCTTTGGATGACACCGAGATCCTCCCTGGAGCCCCCGGCCAGCCCAGCTCCCCACTGGGGACCAGCAGCTCCCCCAGCTCCAGCCCCACGGTCCTGCTGGTCCCTGGGGGCCACGGGCACCCCCAGGGCTCCCCATCAGATGCTCAGGGCTCCCCTGGCTCCAGCCCCACGGTCCTGCTGGTCCCCGGGGACCACGGGCACCCCCAGGGCTCCCCATCAGATGCTCGGGGCTCCCCCCATGCCGCCGGCAGCCCCAGCCCCAGGGGGCTGGGGGGGGGGTCTGGGGGGGAGGGCCCCCCGCCCATGCCCGGGGCCCCCCATGCCGCCGGCAGCCCCAGCCCCAGGGTGCTGGAGGGTGGTTCTGGGTGGCAGGACCCCTCGCCCTTGGGGACACACCAGCCCCCGGGGCCCCACGGGAGCTTCAGCCACCTCCTGGCCCCGCAGCTGCCAGGCAGCCCCGCGGTGCAGCCGGGGAGCCCGGCCATGCTGCTCTCGCCCACCAGCTGCGGCACCCACTGCTCCAAGGAGCATCTTGAGGACAAGGAGTGGGGACAGGCACCTGCCGAGCAGCGCAGCCCCAGCACAGAGGCCACCACCAGCCCTGAGGACACCGTGGTCCAGAACGGGCGAGTGTGCCTGGTGCTGCCACGGCCGCTCTCGGATGAAACGCTGCGCCGGCGGCTGCGGGCGCTGGGGGATGACCCGGGGCCTGTTACGGAGCTCACCAGGCGGCTGTACCTGCGGCGGCTGGAGGAGCTGGCAAGGGGACATCGGGGGAAAATGGCAGGGGAGGCCCCGGGAGCCCCCTCTGCCCGGCCAGCCGGTCCCCATGGTGCCAGCATGGGGCTGACGGTGCTCCCTGATGCCGCACGGCTGCCCCAGGGCACAGCCCCGAGCTGGCGGCCGCGCTGCGGACCGGCTCCGTCCCTGACTGCGCCCAGGATGAGCTGGCGCTGACCCGGCAGTTCGACCACCCCGACCGGAGTCGGCACTGGCGGGGGGGGGGGGGGGGGG